TCAGCAGCGTGAGATCAGCAGCGTGAGATCAGCAGCGTGAGATCAGCTGCAGATACTAAGGTATCCCAGTTTATGTGTTGGTTAATGTCAAACAAACACAGATGCTGGTAATTACATGATCACCCTCCTTTCATGGTGGTGAGTGATAGTAAGTTGGGGCCTCCAAGATATGGTGTACTTTTTTTCCCTCCCTCGCTCTCGAGCAAGATGGATGTTTTTCTTCCCTCTCCCGTCTCCCTCCTGCTTTTTTGCTCTCTGTCCTGTGTATCGGAGATTTTATTTACACATCTTCCGAATAGTAAATTACGGTCATGGATCTGGTCAGCTGGACTTTCAACGCAATTGGTAAAATTTTTGTTCAACCAAGTGACAGGGTCCTGGAGAACCCTCATGCCCCGCTGAGATGCACATGGCAGGATACGTCATGGATCTTGGGAGGAATGGAAGTTGATGTGCTTTTCCGTATTGTCTCAGGAGGACGCCGAAGATGTTTTTATCATTGGAATCATGATCGCTGGGTTTCTGCTTTTTGGCACTGTCTGATACCCATGTTATCGACTATTAAAGAAGACTGCAGCAGCAGTTTTGGCCATGGCAAAGCTGCCAACCTTATGTGAAGGTTTGGTTCGTGCTTTGAGCACTCAGACTCAGCTGATTTACGAGCTCAACTTTAAGACGGAAGCAATTTATGAGACTCGTAGGCCACTTGCGGCTTCTGGAACTCGCCAGCAGCTTGGGGACAACCTTGGAGGGAATTAATAAGCACGGACCAATGGAATGCCCACAAATCTGGCCATTTTGGATTAAAAGTACCAGCAGGACTCAAGGTTCATGAGAAATAACAGTCTGCCTGGAAAAAAAAATCATCAACTGTAGTTTATCTGAATCTGCCTCCCCATTTGGCCTTGAAGTAGTCCAACTTATCAAATTTCTCCTGGGATATGTGTAAACTACGAAGGCTCTGCTCTATCTGTCCCCCGGCCTCTGCTCTCCGTGCCCCACAAACTTTTGTGAAGGCTTATCAGGACTGTACCGGCTGACACCAACATCTTATCAGGACTATGGTCTATCTGGAAGTGCTTCATGGACAAATCTCACCATCTTGTTGTCAAATGCATGTAATGTGCTTATAAATGTGCTGCTGGTAGAGTTTTTAATGTCTTAAATCATGTCCTGATAAGGACAAGATGTGAAAAGATATTTTTTGTAATGCCACTATCCTTTCCTCATGACCTTTCCCCTTTTCTATCTAAAGAATAAGGGCCGCGCTCTTAGGAGCAGCAGCCAAGTGCACTCCACCCATCTTTCGGACAAGTGTACAGACATAATTTCACTGTACTTCGGCGCAATGATGATAAAGCTGATTCTGATTCTGAAGTTGTGCCATCTTAGCACTAGCAAACAGTTTTTCCCACTATGCAGTAGGCTGTTTGTGGGAATCAGTTTGGTTTGGTGGCTCTTCAGATCAAAGAAATCCTTTGGATGAAGGTCGAATAATCTCAGCTTAAAAAGAAACCATCCAAATGACCTGACTGAACATTGTTGGATTTTATACCTGGATTACTGAGCATGAACTTTGATGTCACAAGATACAGTTCTCAAACTGAGCCAGAACTCACCTGCATACAGCACTGGTACTTTTACATTTTTGTCCTTTGTGTATCATCACCTTTTATAACTTGACACCACTCCTCAATAACCTGCCCGTCTGCAGGTCTTGGTTGAACCAACTGAATCAGAAGTGGAGCTTGCAAGATGGCTGGAGTATACACTACATCTCCTGCATGCAGAGCCTGCAGCCAGAATGGCACCAAATGTACAGGTTCTGCCTTCCTTCTGGATTTTACCAAAAGTCAGGG